CCATTCTTTGGACTAAAAATTTGGTTTTTTGCGTTCCTTTACTTTTCATGTTATTCTCTTTAAGTGAGCGCATTTTGCTTACGCTCTGGCATTTTGACACTTTTCAGATTTTAGTCCAAAAAGATAAGGAATGAACCTAATGAAAACGACTAGCTACAAACAACAAATTATTTTAACACTTACTCTTATAGGGCATTCGCACGCGGCGATTTTACAGGCAACAAAAGTTGAATGCGAGGTTGAATGAGAAGTTGAAAGTGAAAAAGTTGCCATCCCTATTCAGACGAGGCGATTTTCGATTCAACACAAACCGTTATTTACATAATTGAAAATGAATTTAAATCGCAAAATTTTATCAATTGGCGTAAATTTGGTAAGCCAAGCGTTGGTAGAAGTGCTTTTAGCGAAGCTGAAAGATAAAATAAGAGTAAAAAAGTAAAAAAGAAAAAAAACTATGTATACAGAACAGTGTTGGCGTTTTTGGTACAATTGTACTTGTTTGATACAATTTCATTTACAATATACTTTCCTACTACGCAGTACTTTTTAGTAAAATTTTGTAATGAATACTAAAAATATATAGCTCTGAAAATTCACAGCAAGAAATTTTTTGTATTCTCTTTTGTTCGCCTGTTCGTATTCACCTTTGTAAGTTTTGAAAAATGGCTTGAACGAACCAGTATAATATAGCCTAGGCAAATTTTTAAAGAAACTTTTCGATACTAAGTTTTGTTAAAACAAAATGTCGAAGTCAGCTTCATATAGAAACAAAGTCTTCGTTAGTTATAAGAAGAGATTTTCTTAAATATAATACCTTTACGGCACTCTCATATTGACAAGGTTTTACTATATATTTTATCATTCCTTAATTTTAATTATCTGTTTATAAAATATAATGTATTCTTTAAGAAAAACTGTATAAACGCAAGATGAAATCTTTGCGAAACATCCAAAAACCAACATACTTTCGTAAAAATTTCGAGCTTTATTAATATTCTTTAGTTTTTAGCCCATTCAATTTTAGTATAATAAAGTGCAAGTTTAAAGTAGCTGGGACTTACCGTTGAACTTTGCCAATTTTTTTTGTCGACGATGTCAGCCATTTTCTTCCATACGAAGTGTGTTCGACGATATTTTTATATGGAGAAAACTAGCAACACCTTCATCAAGGAAATCTTAAAAAACTTAGTTATATTAAAATTTAATGGGCTAAAAAAACCGCACACTCAAAATAAATCTAGGAAATCGAATTAAAAAGCTCGAAATTTTTACGAAAGTGTACTGGTTTTTTTTTTAATGTTGCACAAAGTTT